CAATGCTGGCTGACTGAATAAAGTAAAAAATAAAAAATCTGCAGCGCGAGTTGAACAGAGCGAGGTGGTATTTTCAAAGGAAATTAAGTAAATTTTATTAATGACCAACAAGGAGAAAACTCTCCTTAAAGTGTGGGAGCACTTGACGCTTCACAAAGTTAAAAACTGCGCAACATGCAGCTTTGAAAAGTGACGACATGACACAGAGCACCACGCTGATGAAACGTAAACATGTCGGAGTCAAGGGAGCTCAGCAGCAGATACAACTCGTCACGTGTTGGCAGGTCAGTCTCTACAATATTCACATTTGTTCTGTTTCCAAGTAAGAAAACGTAACACCAGTCTCTCTGGTAGCTGAAGCTGCTGCTTGGTTGTTTGTTTGCTGATTAATAACAGTGATGGAGAACATGTGTGTTACATTTTATTTAATTTAATTGGTACAAGCGGTGTTTAAATGTGTTTTATAAATAAATCTAACACAAAGATGGTAATAATTTAAGGATTAAGCTTCACGTTTTAATTTGCTGGCAAAGTTTGAGTGAAGACACTGCATTGTATGGCAGGACGATTTGCATTTAAACAGGAATTAAAGCAATTTATTACATCTACTCAAATGTGTGTATTTAAGTATTTATGTGTGTGTTTAATTGCACTTTGAGCTACTTTTGCCTTAAACTAACACTGTAAGTGAAACAAGGCATTTCTTGAGTTGCTGTAAATTATGCTATAATATATATTTACTCTCATTCCAGAAAACAACAACAAACAACAACATCCTTCATGATGGACAGACATCATGCACACCACAGCAGCAGCTGTCTTCACTGAAACATCCTTAAATGATCGTCACTGACACGAGGCCTCTGTCGATGGTTGAAGACGAAGGCTTCACTACAATAATCCATACTTTTAATCCAGGTTACAATAATCCACACTTTTAATCCAGGTTACACTCTTCCCTCAAGGACACATTTTACAAAGTAGCTACATACGTTGCAGGTATAAAGCATACTTTTGTATATATTTTTGTGTACATTTATTTTTTTTATCGAAGCTATTTGACGAACATTTTTATTTTTTATTATTCAATATTTTACAAACAGAATAGTCAAGTAGCAACCTGTTTTTTGTGCGATTTGCTATGCCAGTCAAATGTTCAATTTTGGAATACAGAGGTGGAAATTAAAACATTCTGTTTTTTTTTTTTTTTTCCCCGATTCATCAAATAATCTGAAAAATAATAGACAGATTAATCTATTATTAAAGTAATCGTTTGTTGCAGCCCTAGACTGCAGCCCCTGGATCGTGCACATTCAGAAAACAGTGCTGGCTGCCTCATGGGAACTTACAAGTCACTGAACTGTGCACTTTGTTGTTGCCAAAACCACACGTGCCATTTATCTTAACGCAGACACCACAGACGTTACTCTCTGTATCGTTTATAGCACGATCACACATTATCCCATGTGTCCTGGCCCACGTCTCATAAACACACTTATCTATTGTTTAAAATGTAATAATTCCTCTCCAGTTTTAAAAGCCTCTCGTTCGTGAGATCTCTCATGAGCTGTTGGTGTGAAACAACCTGTACTGAAACTTACAGAGTCCAGAAGCGTGTATAGATTTAATTAACTTCTTCATCCTCTGCAGATTTGTGTTGTCCATCTCCAAACACTGTAACGACACACAAACACGCAAGAAAATTTGAAATAAAGAATAAAATACTTGTTTGTCAAGTTGTTGTTTTTTTTCTTTCTGGGTAACGATATACAGAAAACTGATATTACTCTTTGTTCCCGCTTGAAAACTCTGTGTCTGCTCCAACTTCTCACGGTGCATGACTCAGGTAAACAGGTTTCGCCCAGAAGACAGCCATCACGTAAGTGTTCATGTCAAATAAAACTTCAGGTTGAGACACTTTCTCTGCATGCGACTGTGCTGGGTTTTCTGAAGAGCAATAAAACTTGATTGTGGATGTGGTGCAAGCGCCACTGGAAGACGGCAATCAACGTTTTTCAAACCAACAGAGTTCAGAACTGCATCTTGTTTATTCTCCTCACAATGGCTGCTTGTTGCAGCAAGCAGTAGTCCACCTACGTTGCGCCAAAAAAAGCTTTAATTGGCCAGTCGCTCAGACTTATGGGAGACTATGTCTTATTAGATGTGGTTGTTTCCACACTCCCGTCCCTCCCAGTCAAGTCGCCGCTGCCTGAGCTTCGGTTCATTAATCAAAAGGTTGCGTCATGTGAAAATACAGTCATTTTGTGGAGACTGAGACGCTAACAACAACCAATTTATTCCCTAATTAGACAAACTGTCAAAGAATAATCCCCGCTGAAGACAATAAGGAGCTCCACCTATGAAGTGTGCTTTTGTTTTGAAAGTGCAGAGTTGGCTTCAAAGCAACTGTGCCTGCTGTTATTTCCAGTCCAAATTGAATCTATTCAGGACAAATAAGTGATAAGCAGCTAAGTGCATGGTGGTGGTGGGTTAAATGGTATCCACCTTAATCCACACCATGCATACATGTTACTCCAATAATCTGGTTTGCTGCGCAGTCCAAACAATAAAACCATATGCATGTTATAGAGTTGGATGCTCTTCAGTCTGTGTGCACATGTGCAGGATTCCAGCATGACGATCCCCAAACTGCTATTCCAGTTATGTCTTTTCCAGTGTGTCATGTCCATTAAAAAGGACATAAGACTGAGATAAATGCATCACACAGCTGCCTAAAGCTGCTGTCTGCATAAAAACTGGATTCTGCAGAATCGATCCATGTTTGGGGTCTACGAGCTCTTAAAGGAGTCTTTCGTCGTTTTTGTTGTCATCTCTCACACTGCGTTATTTATTATCTCTAGAATAGAAGGACATCCAGGATGACGTGTTACAAAGATAAATCTGGACAGGTTGCAGCAGATATGTTCGGTCACACAAGTACGGTTCAGCTTGGGTGCGGATTTGGATTATTTGTTTAAAGGCAGAGTTCATGGCTCTCTCTGTTTCCTCCCTTTGCCTGAGGAGCAAAGGGAGGAGACATTTCAAACACACAGAGACCTGAAAACAAGCCTCGAGCCAAAGTAACAGCTGAAACTGAAAGAAGGAAAAAAAAAGGCCCAAACCGACCTTCGCAGACGTTCTTGCAAATATTGGCAAACTTTGAACAAAATACCAGATTTTGTCAGAGTCACTTTTCTTCTTGTTGCGTACGGTGACATCTGAGTTTTGTCCCGTCTTAGTCCAAAAACGCTGAGTGCAGAAACAAAAGGTTACGCTGCATGATTTCATGTAACCTTTACTTCCCTGCTGAGCCGAACCAAAACTAGCTGAAGCACAATAAATGTTAACCTAATTTCCTGGACACTGCGAGGTGCAACATGCAGCATATGCAGAAAAACACATAAGCAGTAAAAAAAAAAGTATCAGACGTGGAAAATAAACATCACAGGCATGGTGTACGTGTGTAAAATCCACTATCAGTGTTTGCCAATAAAACACTTGGTCCTATCTCTGTGTCCTGTTACAGACATGAGCTGCGGAGTGGAATTACAGGCGTGGTCTGGAACAAAAGATGAGGAAGAGCTCGTTAGATGTTTTTCTATACTTATCCTTGCTCTTCATTATCAAAAGTGGGATCAAAAATGCTCCTTTATAGTTTGATATACAGTAGTCACAATGTTGTGTCAGCCAAAGACTGTACCCCCTGATGATGATGATGATGATGATGTTGATAGACCACAAAGGGTCACATTTTACTGAGCATTATGAGAATCTAGAATATATATATACAGTCTGGTACTTACCTGTGACTTGCATGGTACTTTTTTAAGTACCGGTACATCTCTGACACTTAGAGGGTATGTACCTGTTAGTATAGGGTACTTACTGAGTTCATGCATTGTACTTATAGGATACTTAGCAGATATGTAAGTACCAAATATATAGCCGTCAATTATAGGACCTTTACTAAGTATCTGGTTCTTACAGCATACTTAGCAGATATGTACACATATGTACCAGGTATATAGCTGTAAATAACAGAATATTTCATAGGTAAGTACCTACTATGTATCTGGTACTTACTGCATGTGCACCTGTAAGTACCTGGTAAATATCTGGTACTTACAGGGTACTTACCAAGTATGTCTATGGCACTTACTGGATACTTATTGGGTATGTACTTGTAAGTACAGAGTACGTATCTGGTACTTACAGAGCACTTATCTGGTATGGCAGGTACTTATAGGGTACAAATACCTTAACCTACTGAGTATGCATCTAGATTAGTACTTACAGGGTATGAAACCTTAACCTACCTAGTATGTATCTGGTACTTACTGAATATGTATCTGTAAGTACATGGTAAATATTTAGTACTTACAGGGTACTTACCAAGTATGTCTATGGTACTTACTGGATACTTACTGGGTATGGCAGGTACTTACAAGGTACAAATACCTTAACCTACCGAGTATTCATCAATATTATACCTAGTACTTACAGGGTATGAAACCTTAAGCTACCAAGTATGTATCTGGTACCTACAGGGACCAGGTTGCAAGATCTTGTTTAGTTGTACAGTACTTACAAAGTACATCACCTGATTCTTACTGAGTATAAATACCTAGTAGTATCAGGCTGTTATGTATATTGTTTAACTTTTTAACAGTCACAGCTAAAATGCAACACAATTCATAAATTCCACCTGTTTATGTTTTTAACCCTGCTGTGGAACCTAAATGTTAAAAAACTATTAAAGGTGGGCAAAAAGGTACAAAAACAACTGATGAAAATCTTTCAGGTCATTTGGAATGGGACGAGTTTAATTCATTATATTGTTTAAGCCTGTTAGTAAAATTCAAGTAAGGCGTGTTATAATGATTTAAACTGCTCTAAAAATGTTACAGTTTAATAAAAGTCCCTGAACTGAGCAGGTGGTTGAGCGCCTGTGTCCGCCTGAGCCAACAGGTAAACAGAAGCGCAGGTGAGTCCCACTCACCTCTTCCACGACTGACACCGTGTTCCGACAGTCGCTCATTTTGGACTGAAAGCTGGAAGTCCCAGGAGAAGATAAATCCTCGTTCGTCAGCACCACAAAGTCCGAAATACTTAGTCGCTCCGGCATGTTTCCAGAAAAACTCCGACATTCACTCCTGGGAAGAAAAGGTGAGCCAAAGTTTCACCCGCGCGCGTTAATTCCCATTTGTAAAAGAAGCAGGAGCTTATTCCTCCTCTTGTGTGGAAAAAAGGCACATCCAAGGAGGACTGCTTTCTCAAAACAAAGTTCTTCAAATTAAAAGTTCGCTAAAAACAGGACTGAGCTCGAACAGAGAGAGCAACTGCGTGTGAGCGGCGCGCGTGCAGACCCAGCACTGCATGTGAGGGAGGAGGGATCAGTGGGTCCGCTCCTTAACTGTACACCGGCGCATCAGCCGGTTACAACAACGAGCAGGGTGGCATTGCCTTCAGTGACGTGGATGGCGGCGAGGGAGGAGTTTAAGCTGTCAAGTTTACTGTCAAATCAATTCAGTTTATTTATATAGCGCCAAGTCACAACAGAAATCATCTCAGGGCACTTTTCTTAAAAAAAACTTTATTAATAACTTTACATCAGTACAGGCCTGGGCAAGTTTACTGTGTCATTTATTGATGAAAACCTAAACTTGCAATCAAGAAATAAAACGACAAAAACTGTAACTTATTTGCTACTTAATGGACAGTTAGAATAATCAGATTCAGAACATTAAAAAAAAGTTAATTAATTTAGTGTTAATGTAAACATTGAATCGTAGCATTTAAACAGCCATGTGTTTATGGAGGTGGTATGACAAGCCATTTTTATCATAAAATAAACAAGAGCTTCAAAGCAGCTGACCATAATTCAGTTCCTCTGAGTAAAATTAAACATTTAATTCTCCAGAATGCCACCTATCCCATCCACCACCAACAGTTCAGATACTTTAAGCATCGTTCTTCCTAGTGCAAATGACAGCACTGTTTTTCATTCACGTACACTTTCAGATGCAAGCTTCCACAATGTTCATTCTTCTTCTAAAGAATAAACATTGCAAATGTTGGAAACAAAATCCGTATACAGGAAAAACTTTTAAGATTTCTGCAGTCAGATATCTACACTCCCATTGTTACTCATGCTAAGTTTCACTGAACACATAGAAAACTATCAATACGTTAAACCTTGCTTCCTTCCTTCCTTAGATAGATAACTTTACTAATTGCATTTATAATGTATGTGGGTGTTTTTGTTCAGGGCTCTGAGATAACTTCTGTTGTGACTTGGTGCTATAGAAAGAAACTGCATTGAATTAAATTGAATAAGTCTTTTTTTTTAGTGCAGAAAGAACTGAATTATACATATCTGGAACTAGCATAGACCAGAGAATGTGTTTCAGCTGTGGAGTGTTGTGAGCATGTAGGAATTAAAGTATATGACTCTAAACACCCATATATACAAAACCTATACTTACACGGGTGTAAGTATCGTGTCTACCTCTACTTACAC